AAAAGAGCTTCAGGATGTACCTGGAACTGACCAGATTCATTAGACCCCTCCCTGCCAGAGTAAGCAATAAAAGCTGAGAGTCTCACATAAAAGCAGAAGCAAGCAGAAGACTCTCAGATGGTGGGCTGAAAACTCTCCACAACCTTGAGCCAAAATGAATCTTTCCTCCCTTAAATCGTGTTGAGTACAGTGGTTACTATGATGCAAAATTAAATGCTGTATTTATACAAAGTGGATTTGATGACTTGAAAAATCCGTCAGCCACTTTTGAAAGTCACGAGTTGATTGGTAACTTTATATAGAATGGATTTATTAGTTCAAAACTAGTTTAAGGGGACCATGTTAAAATAATTTATTAATTTTCTTCTTTGACAATTTCATACACATGCTTATTATGTATTCTGGTCACTGTCACTCTCATCAGTGTCCCTTCCTCCTTACAGGCCCTGTCTCACACTCCTGTCTTTATATCTGGCTTGTGATCCCCTGAGTTTAACCACAGCCATTTGTGTGACCCTGGGTTTTGAACTAGCTGCTGGAACCTGATATTTCTTATACCCATAGACAATCAAGAATTACTTTGGTTTCATCTTAAAAGAAAAAAAAATCTTAAATATCAGAAATGAAGAGGCAGGTTGAAAAGTACTACCTTCTAAGAAAAGAAAACCATTGCTTAAGAAGTACCATAGAATAAGCAACTCAAAAGGTAAAGGAAATTTCTACTTAATAGAAAGTATTCTCAGGAACTGGGGTGGTAGCTCAGGAAGTCGAATGCTTACTGAACAAACAAAAGGAACCTACATTCTGTCTCCAGACTACATAAAAACAACAACAACAACAATAACAACAACAACAACAACAAAAACAAGTGGACTGATGCATGCTTGTAATCCAGTGCTGGGGAGATAGACAGACACAGGTGGATCTATGAGGCCTGTTAGCCAGCCAGCCTGCTTGGCCATCTCCAGACCAGTGAGGGAGTCTGTCTTATAAAATAAGGAGTGCATTTCCAGGTAAATAGCACTGAAGATTGTCCTCTGGCCTGAACAAGCACATGCACACATGCAAACCTGTAAACACACCTGTATGCACATACATGAACATGTACACACATGTATTAACACACATAAGTAAAATTTCTCTATTATATTCAAGTTACAGAACATTTTGATTCTCATCTGATCATTGTTATTCCTGGTTGCTCTTATCTTGGAGTTGGTTTCAGCTCTTGCCTGTACTAATAAAATCCCTTATCCCATCATTCACGCTCGGTGCCAGGTCAGATTTGTTAAAACAAACACAAAAAGACAAGTCAGGGCCTCGGCAGAGCTGCTTCATGGTTTTGTGCAGAAAGACACATTTAAATGCCAGAGGGAATAATGTTCACAGATAAAAATGTGACGTGAAACACACTTACTGGGGTGCATTTAACCTACTGACATCCAACTGACCTCAGGTTTGAAAATGTGGCACCTTCCCCCTGTTCTACAAAACATCCCATCTAACAGGGTGATTTTTCAAGCCCTTTGAGCTGGACATTTTTTTTAAGGCAAAAATCTAAAATCAGAGCAGTGTTCTGAATTCTTACTTCCAAAGCAAGTCATGAAACACCACCTTTCTACAGCTTGAAGCATGATTTAGCTATTGTCTGTCAAGTTCAGGCATTTCATCTCCTGCCACTGTCTATATTTTATTTTCTGCCTTATATAAATGTAAAGGGCACCACCAGCCAGTTCTGAGCTCGTCAAACCCCTGACAACACAAATCATGCCAGATATAAATATTTTCATTGTCACAGCAAATGTTTCCAAAATCACAAACTCGGATGCCTTTGCAAATTGGTTTGGAACAGGTACAATGTACTGAATGAAAGAGATAAAAGAAAAAAACCGCTTCCTGAAAAAACAAACAAACAAACAAAAGGCCCAAATCCACAGTAATATTCGAATATATGAGAAACAGATTTCTTCTTTCCCAATACATTTGAAGGAAATGGCCCTTTTTTTCTTTATATCAACACTTCTAAGATGACTCAACAAAAGATGGAATATGAGTTGATTCTGTATCACTTTGCCATTTTTTTCCCATTCTGCTCCCAATACATACTTTACCTAAATACCCTTTGGATATGTTCTGCAACATGTCCTATCTTTAAAAATAGTATTTTAATTAGCATACAAAATAATGGGTTCTATTATGACATGTTCATGTATGCAAATCATTGTTACTTGATCATGCTTTTCTTTTTATTTTCCTCTCATCCACCCCACTGACTCCTTCCTTTCCCAAATATCTCCCCATACATATGTACAACTTCTAGATTCTGCACAGGAGAGAAAATACACAGTGTTTTCCTTTTCTTCCCCGATGCCCTCCCCCCAATATTCCCTTCTTATACAGTATTGTACAACAAAGGCATAGCCAACATTAGACTCTGTGGAAACACTAAACACATTTTGTTTTATGTCAAGGATGAGCCAAAGGTGTCTACTTCTTCAATTTTGTGGTTGAGTCTCTGCTAGAGCAACAAGGCAAGAGAAGGAAATACACAGGACATAAATAAGTCAAAGTATTGTTATTAGTATATGATATCATCTTCTACTTAAAAGGCTCCACCAGAAAATTCTTAGGTCTGATGAACACTTTCAGCAAAGTCAGGATGCAAAAATCAGAAGCTTTTTTTGGTAGGCCAATAATGAACATGCTGAGAAAGAAATCAGGAAAACAATCTCACTTGTTATAAATAAACTGATATCATATCTGAATGAATGTAACCCAGGAGGAGAAAGAGCTACACAATGAAAACCCTGAGCATTCCACAACACTTAGGAAAATGTCCACTTCTTCAGCAGCCTTAGGAGTTGGTGTCTGCTCCCGCCACCATCTTCTACCCTGCCCACAAGCCCCTGGCTTTTGTGTGGGCTCCGGCTTTGCTGGCTACCTTCCAGGCGGTTTACTATGAAACGCAGGCATCAAACCTCATTCTGTCTTAGGTGTTTTTGCTTATGTTACTGTTTGCCTGGGATGCAGTTATGCCCCCTGTCATCCTCTCCAACAAAGAAAAGATAATTCAATGTTTACTTAAACTGAAACTTTCACTTATAAATGATGACCAGGAAAGTTATAGGTTTGTGACTTCAGATGAGTATATAGCAAGCTGTATATGTGTATATATGAGCTATATCAAGTTTATTTTAGAATTCATAAAAATGGAATTGCCAGTGAAACAATTAGAATGGTTTTGCTTTTCTATAAGATATATGAACTTTCTACAAAAAAACCCATGATTTCCAAATAATTTTAAAAAGAGCAGTCAAAAACTGCACAGCTAAATAGTCTCAATCTCACATGCAATGACTTGATTTTTTTTTCTACTTGGAAACATTATGCATATTTATGTGTATATGTGTGACGTGTGTATGTGTGTGTGTGTGTGTGTGTGTGTGTGTGTGTGTGTGTGTGCACGTGTGCATCTGTTTGTACAAATGTGCTTACCTGACTACGTGAATGTGGAGGCAAGACCTTTCACATTGCACTCTATTTTTTGAGACAAGGTCTCTCACTGAACCTGTAGCTGGCCATTTTGGTTAAACTGGTGGTTAACCAGCCTGTGTTTTGCCTGGCCTCACCTCCCATGCATTGGAGTTGTAGGTACTGTAAGCACTTCCCCAACTAAAGGTATCACTCCAGCCCCACTTCAATGCTTCTTAAAACCTGGCTTTTGTGACCTGAGTTAAAGCTGCTAACAAGTTTTTGGTGAGTCATGGTGTGTGTGTGTGTGTGTGTGTGTGTGTGTGTGTGTGTGCACATGTGTGCATCTGTTTGTACAAATGTGCTTACCTGACTATGTGAATGTGGAGGCAAGACCTTTCACATTGCACTCTATTTTTTGAGACAAGGTCTCTCACTGAACCTGTAGCTGGCCATTTTGGTTAAACTGGTGGTTAACCAGCCTGTGTTTTGCCTGGCTTCACCTCCCATGCATTAGAGTTGTAGGTACTGTAAGCACTTCCCCAACTAAAGGTATCACTCCAGCCCCACTTCAATGCTTCTTAAAACCTGGCTGGCTTTTGTGACTTGAGTTAAAGCTGCTAACAAGTTTTTGGTGAGTCATGAAGTGAGTGAGAGAGAGAGAGAGAGAGAGAGAGAGAGAGAGAGAGAGAGAGAGAGAGAGAGAATGGATGAGTAACAGACTACAGAGGGGGAAGAGTGGACAGTCCAGCTCTGGAGAAGGATCTGCCAGGAATAACAAATATCTGTAATTACAGCCCTTGCTTTTTTGCACACAAGTGGCTTTTCATTTCTCTTGAATTCACAACAACGAAATCACCTTCAAACACAATCTTCTATGCATGTGCATTTCCCCCCCCCATTCTAACATCCTAGCCAACAGTAAAAGGCAGTGAAATAGAAAGAAGTCAGCAAGAGAAAGACTGGATTCTAGCAGTGAGCAGCCCCCAAAGGCATTATGCCCTTCACAAATTAAGGATGCACTCCTGGCAGGAGGAGAGGGCGGGACTGAGTCTAGTGTAAGAATCACAAAGCTCAGCTCAGCATTTCCGGGCAGAAGGGAGGATTCTTAGCCAGCAAGATGCCCCAGGAAGATTAATTATTGATTTTCTTATAAATCATCTTAGGTGATTGTTGTTTGTTTTCCCTCCCAGGATGAGAAACGTCTGATTTTACTCTTGTTTAAATAAATTCCTTCTACTTCAGTGCAGTTAAATGAAGATCAAGAGAAGTAGTCCCAGAGGAAGGATTTTCCAACACGGTAGGCAGGGGAGTCAACTGTGTGCTGACCTTCATGCGGTACCAAGGGTCAGGACCTGGATTTTATGAAGGAGGAAAAACACTATTTGGACATAGTTATATATTTGTTAGGAGTGCTCTTGAGGTCTGTGATAATTGCTAGGTGTCACTCATCACAGAGACCAAGATCCAGAAGACTAGCTTTGACAATGAGCATCACCCATCATCACAGAAGCTACATGGTGGCTTACCTTTCTGCCTCCGGTGTTGATGCGCAGAGGTGTCAGAAAGGGATCGAAGATCATGTGACTGGTCTCTATGTTGACTGGCGACTGCCGTTTTCCCACAGAGCAAAGATTCCAAGCTGAGTTCACCAATCCCCAGAAAGAAGGAACTAGGAGTAAAAATGAAATTGTAGGATTAGGCTACATGGAAAAGAGGAAAAAAGAATATATTAAAAGGAAACATAAGTTACAAGGTGGTAAACAAAGAATGTCAAGTAATATTCTGGCTCAAGGAGATCTCAAGGTGTTGTCATGGCATTTTCCCAGGCCTCAGTCTTGGTCAATTTTTTCAAATATTGTCTTCACGATCTCTGAAGGTCAGATTTTCTTACTTCATGCACATCCTGCAGCCTCTTTACTGCATCTGTGCTTTGGTACTAACATTGTCTTTTAAGTCATATCCTCTTTGCAACATGTTCAAAGTACAGCAAGTATTTAACAACTCCAGAGTGGATGCTCTGTTCCTCTCCTAGGTGGAAATGATGTGAGAATCAGTGGTGTCCAATCTTGAAGGTTTCTGAAGCTTTTCAAAGTAAGTGTCATTTGACATATACAAGGTGTTTTTCCATGAGTTGTCAAGACCAAACTGAGGGAATGGTTTATTTTTATGACCCCCCCAATCAAAACTAGACAGGAGCTTAGCAACTTGACGCTATCTTTGTTTGGTTCAACTTGTGTCATTAACCTAATGTTCCAGCAACTGAAGAACATGATCATTTGAGAGACAGGAAAAAAAAAATCACATCGAGTGCTGAGTGCAGATATCCAAAGGAAAACTGTCAGCTCACTTTTAGTGTTCCAGTAATACACCTATTAGTGTGTGTGTGTGTGTGTGTGTGTGTGTGTGTGTATATATATATATATATATATATATATCACAGAATTTCCAGTCTTTTTTTCTTGTATTTAACAGTTAGTAGAGTAATAGGAAGAGTTAACATTCACAGTTTATGTTCATGAAGAAACTATACCTTTAGCATTTACTATCTCATCAGTATTTCCATTGAAATGCAGAAGCCATGCATCTCCCATTTTTCACTGTGTTTGGTCATTCATCCACTGATCAACCCACAACAACTATATGCAGTGAGCGCCCACCTTGGTGTTCTGCCCTGGGTTAGTTTGAATCTCAAAGAAAGAATAAAAGAATAAGAATAATGAGAACCAAAAGTTGAGACTAATTGGAAAGTGCTGTGAGGCTATTGATGAAGGGCATTCAGCTCAGCCTTGGAGGAGTTGAACCAGATAGTGGTTATTGATGAACATTGCAATCATGTCATAATCCTCTTACATGCAACTGCCATCTCAGAAACTCAAGTTGAATGTGGATGTTAACTTACAGTAGCCATCATGCCTGCTCATATCCTAATGGCTAAAACCAAAGTCAGAAAGGAGTCTAGGAAACACTTGCCAAACAGTTGTATAATTCTGAAGAACTATGACTGATGGTATCTTTATTCCAATGAAAAACCCAAATTCGGTGACCTCATTAATTCAAGCCAACACTGGGCAGAAGCAGGTTCTCAGACAAATGCTTTAACACCAGCATGCAGTGGGATTCATATCTAATTTGGCTTAATCCATTCCAATGAGCCTCTGGTGGTTTTGTTCCTTTTAGGTTAAGGAGTTTGAATTGGCTTCCTCAACATAAGCAACAGTCAATATGGCAGCAATGGCCAGAGGGAGAAAGAGAAGAAGGAAGAAAAGCAAGAGTAGAAACAAGAAAACTTACTCATGGACTTGTGCTTCCTCGATGCCTCATTTCTTAATGTGTAAACTATGTTATCACTGAAAACTGCTTCACATGTTTACAAGATACCACATCCTAGCAAAACTATAATACCTAATGAAGTTTTTGCATTCAAAATGTACTTTTCATCCACAGTGTTCCCTGAACCGTAGGTGTAGGGGTTTTGTCGTCTGTGGCTGAGCACCTCACCATCAGTTGTTTTATACACTATGATCCACTGTGGCAGCTCTGGATTTTTGCAATGGTCTATATCTGCTGCAAAGAGAAGCTTCGTTGATGAGGTATGAAAACTGCATTTCTCTGTGGGTGTAAGGATAAGTATTTAGAATGAAGTTAGGGATAGCCTTGGTTTAGTAAAGTGGCAGTAGTAGATGGTTCTCTAGGATCTGTGATAGGATCTCACTAGCCCTGGATAGTTAGCTAGGTTTCCATTACTGGGCATGATTCCCCTCCTGTGGGACGGGCCTTATATTCTTTAGACAGCTGTTGGTTACTGCAAAGATATGAGTGCCACTGTTGCTCTTTTAGGAATGTCTTGCCTGCTGGTCATGGTTGTAGTTCATAGGTGTCACATTTGGGTAGGAGCTATTGATTACTTCCCTCCTTTGATAGCTTGTATAGTACCTTTTCATACTATGAAAGAGAGAGAGTCCCCAGGGAAGAGGCTTCTACGTTACTTCCAGCTCAGATCCTCTGGGTCTGTGTCCATGGTGTCTTCTGAAACATGGACTTACCTTCAACTTCTGAGAGGCAACTAGGGGCAGCAGCAATAACTTATATTGTTTTGGGAGGCTCTTGGAATTCCCTGACCAACAATTTGAAAGGAAATTTCTTATGGCTGGCAGTGGATTTCTGCAAGAGTCTATGGTTTTTAGGCATTATCTCCTCAACTAGCACAACTTCATACACACACACACACACACACACACACACACACGAGAGAGAGAGAGAGAGAGAGAGAGAGAGAGAGAGAGAGAGAGAGAGAGAGAATGCATATATGTGTGTATATTACATGCCATTTTAAATAAACATAAAACAATATGACTCCCTATGGCTTTTTCAGACATCCTTAGTGTTATTTATCATTCTCCCTTCCAAATTAAAGGCATCCTTTTCTATTTCCTCCTTCATATCATCTATATCCTGCTATTCCCTTCTGTAGAGCTCCCCACCACAGTCTAGCTTATATACTCTTTGATAACCAAGACATGCATCTATGGGATGTGTGTTTGTGTGTGTGTGTGTGTGTGTGTGTGTGTGTGTGTGTGTGTGTGTGTGTGTTCTCAATAAGGCAGCTGCATGATAAAACACAGTTACAGCTGGTGCACATTGCATTTCATCTACTCCCATGAAAATCATTAACAAAAATAATTCTAACCCCATAAACTGTCTGTAAGGCTGCCTTTGTATGACACCATCGGTGAGCAGATGCTGCCATGCCTTACTAATAAACTTCATACCCAAAAAGTCCCCCCACAAAAACACAAACAGCAAAAACTTTATGTGAACATCTGCCTTTGCTTTTACTGGGTATGGAGTTCTTTATGACAGTTTCAGGGCTTTATATCCCCTCTTCACCATCAAGGCCCCTGTCTCTCATTCTAACCACCTGCTTAGGAATCAGAGAGTAACTAAGAAACACTTTCCTTTGCTCACTGTGTCCCTCATCTGCTCAGCACCTCAAAGTGTACTGAGTTTACTCACAACTGAATGGTAGGTTTTTAAATCAGCCATACATATATGTATATGTATTTTTTTTCAGAACTAGAAGCCACCTTAGAGTTCATTTTACCTAAATGCATCCATGGCCTGGAAATCACAGATCAGAGGGTAAAGTACTCTACACACAGTCACACTGCCAAGCAGAGACCAGAAAGCACAGAGAAAAGACCAGAATCAGCTCTGAAAACTCCAGTTGTCACAGAAGACCCATTTCTCTCTGCAAGGATCCAGTCAGAAGCAGTGGATTGATTATTGCCCTGACCCTTGCAAGACTTGTGTTTCCATTTCTCTTTTGGTAAATCAAGAATAATAACATAAAAAATAATAAAACAAGAAAAACAACATCGGTGTCTATTTGGCAGTTTAAAAAAAATTCCAAATGAAACTACTTCAAAAATCAACTACGTCAAATAAAGGCAGAATTTGAAAGCAACTGAACAACTTTGAGATAACAGACAGAATGGTCTAGGAGAAAAATATGTTGAGGTTGGGGGTGGCAGCATGCTTTTGGTACTCTTTTCAGAGTCCCAGGAAGATGTAATGGAAGATATTGTTGCAGAATGCTGCTCTAGAGGCTGGAGAGAGGTTAAGAGCACTGCTCTTCCAGAGGACATGTGTTTGGTTCCCAGTATCCATGTTGCTCACAGCTGTCTGCAATTCTATATAGAAAGAATTCAAATGATACCCTCTTCTGGCTTCTACGGGCTCTGCACTTATATGTCCTCTCTCTCTCTCTCTCTCTCTCTCTCTCTCTCTCTCTCACACACACACACACACACACACACACACACACACACACACACACAAAGTTTAGGCTGCTCCAGTTAAAGTGCTCTTGGGCTGGATAGACTGGACCAGATTTTGATCCCCAGTGAAGGAGAAGTCAATGCTTGCTACTAGAAGCAATGTGAATGCTGAGGAAGAATTAAAGTGTGGAAGCCACTCCAGAGATCTTGAGTGACAGATAGACAAGGAAGAGATCTACAAAAGCTATGCAAGGGAAATGCTTTAGGATGGAGTCTTGGAGAAAGGGAGGGAAAACAATGCCTGCTCGCTGAAGCTTGGGAATTAACTAGCTCATTTTAGGTGTGTAGAACTATGTCATATCTATGAGCTAGGACTCAGGATTTGGGTTTATGCAGAGTCCTCAATTACGACCATGGTTCTAGCCAACCTCCACAGGAGCATGCTTCAGGCTTACAGGCACTCCATGTCACCTTCAGAAGCAGAGGTGGAGTAGTAGAATGTGGAGGTATTGCTCCTATTTTTCAAATTTTGAAATCCTGTTGAGTTTTTTCACTCTCAGTCACTATGGCTATTTCAATAAATCAAATTTTAAACTTTCTTCTTGAAAAAAAGATAACGACTTATTTGCTAATGCAGTCTTTTTCTAGTTTGACCAATACAATTTATTGTGGGGAAAATGTAAATAAAATGAAATTGTGAGAACCACTTTAATTAATTAATAGTCAACTAGTCTGAAAACATTGGAATTCCATCATCCTTGGCATCTCTTGCACACACTCTTCTAATTAACATATAAACTAGAACACAAAACAGACCTGAATATCTTTGCAAATTAATTTTCACAGAGACTAAACAGAGGAATTTAACTGCCGCATCACAACTATGCATTTG